CGCCATTACGCACGCCACGGAGACCGTGCGGCGGGAAGCCGCCATCTCGGACGGCGCGGCAAGGGCGCGGTCGGAGCCCGCCATTTTGAAGGGGCCGCGTGGCACACGACCTGCGGGGGCCGCCGCTGATATTGGGCGGAGCGGTGCTAAGCGCACCCGGCGGCTCCCGCATACCAAATAATTCTTCGCTGCCGGCGGCGATTGGAGCGCCTTCACTTGGAGGTTCGAAGCGGCGTTCCGCTCGGTTCATTGGTCGGAGGAAGAGGCGTTGGTCGCTCTACCGACCGTGTTGGATGACGACGCTCTAGCTGTGTTCAGGTCGATTCCCCCAGAAAAGAAGAATACGTTGAAAGGTGCGATTGCCGAGATGGCTGAAGTCTACGAGCCCCCTTCCACCGTACTTTTATCGTTCTATAAAAAAAAAATGTATGCCTCCAGTTTCCTACCTGGCTGCTGGCTGGGCTCCTCACCACTCTAATAATAACTATTGGTTCGTGGCTGGGGCTGTTGCCATCGAAACTTGCTGACTAACTGGCTAACTGTGTAACAAATAATAACAAGGTTGCATGAAAATTGCACCGAATTGCATCTAGAGCCACATGAAGGGGTCTCGTGTAGATTCCGTGAGAAACATGGCGTCTCCAGTGTTGACATTGTATGACATGGGAGACGGGGCTTTGCTGACTCCTAGGTCAGATAGTAATAATCTACACGAGTTAATCATTAGCAAGCCCATAGCTTTCATGAAAAATGCAAGCAAAGCTTTAACATTGAGCATGCCAAACTTTTCTTGTATGTCAGGGGATACTTGACATACCAACATTTTAACAACACATTCAAATACGATATTTGATCTTTCGTATATAACAATCTGAAGTCAGTGTAATCACTATGGGGTTACCAAGTAATTGGACTGGGGAGAGCAACTGAAGGCTGCCCAGTTGTTGTGCCAGCACCACTGAAATTACACCACTGCAGAAATACGAACATTACACCACTCCTGATAAACACGATTTGCTCATGAGCTTCCTGGCATACAATAAGCCCTCTTTTCAGTTCATTATGAAGCACACGAGGCTCGATCGGCCATATGTATATGTGTATGTTGAACTTGTTTTGCACCATACCTAGCCAACTTCAAAATAAATTAGTTTTCAATCTAGATTTAAAAGTGCATAGCTCCAATGGCTTGGAACGGAAGAGTGTTTCAGACGGCCGCAGAAGCGCATCCGAAAGCATGTGATGCAGTGACCATCTTTGTTCGATGGGTTAGCCAAAAGCCGCTGTGAGAATGACCGGAGTTTGCGTGATCGTTTATACTCCCTGACGAGATCAGCAAAGTATTGTGATTATAGAGGAAGACTTTGATGGGACAATTCCATCTTCTCATTGAGATTCATCTCATCTAACTCTTGAGCTCAGTCAGCATTACGAGGTAAGAGCCCACTTACATTGATATTTAATGTACTTTAAGCGTGATATCTCATTAAAAAAAAATATTTATTCATGTTCTTTCCAGTCAGTGGCAAGTTTCTTCTGGCTGGAGTCCAGGAGAGTGGGCCGCACATTTAGAATATGAAATAAAAGTGGCAATTTACTTGAAACGTAAGTTTTCATAGCAATACAATGATCCATATTTGTTTTTGGGTAAGGCCACATGGTAGTTTTATTCAAAAATTATTGTCATTAACCCTCCACCACCCAACAAGATTGTTACTTTTGTAGTGCCATCGGTGGATGTCACTGCATGTTGTGTGAAGCCGGCCTGTGTGAAGCACGACACATTGCCGCTCACACCATCTACAGCACTGCAGTGGGAATGCAGTACTGGCCCTAGCGGGGGCCGGCAGAGATCGCTGATCAAGGAGTGCTGATCAAGGAGTGCAGCTTCTGGAGGTTAGGGGGCGAGAGTGCCAGGGACGGTGCAGGGGTACACAGGGGGGCCATGGCACTCCATGTGAACCCGGAGGCTTGGAACCGAAGGTACCGGTCCGGGGGCCCCAAAGAGGGGACTGGGGGAACACGGGACCAGGACCAGGACCCTCTCGAAGGCTCGAGAAAGGGGGCGTGGCTAGGGGCGGAGTAAGCCCTGCCACGGGCAATATCAGCCGGAGCCCTGAACGAGTCCGGCTGGCTGTTGCAAGAATCAAGACTGAAGCCGTCACCTGGAGAAGACCTGCCCGACTACAAGACCCGGACCCAAGCCGGGGTCCGGTCCGAGATGGCCACTCCGTGTGAGCTAGGGTTAGCTAGCCCGGAGGAGATACCTCCCTAGGATAGCTGGTGAAGGGGCAGATATACCCCTTCATCGTTAGGGCTTTATTGTTAAATAAACGTGTTATCTCTAATAAGTCTCTGCCTCCTTGATGTGAACTACTACACTTTTACAATTATTTGTACTAATGAAATTCAGTCGTGAAAAATCTCAAGCCAGAAGTTAATCAATCCGTTGGCATGTATGAAAAATATCTGACCAAAAAACTAATATAGATCAGAAGAGACTGATCTGCATATTTGTGCATATGGCCAGGTTCACTGTATCAACAAGAACTCTGTCTCCTTGTTGTTATCACAGTAAAATATCTAAAAACAATTCAATCCTTAGCTGAAAGTTAATATTTAGATTTTGTGAACCATTACCTGAATATTCTGCAAATCCTTGCGTATTCATGTATTTGTAGTGACACCGAGGACATCACTGTGTGGTGCCGGCCTTAGCGAGGCACGGCGTACATTACGGACACCCCGTACATGTGGGTGTAGCACCTGGACCCAAGCCGGGGTCCTGTCCATTGTAGCTACTCCCAGTGTAATTATTGTAGTTAGCCTGGTGGTGACGTAGCTAGTTACGGTGTAATTAGTGTAGTTAGCCTGGTGGTCACGTAGCTAGTTACGGTGTAATTAGTGCAGTTAGCCTGGTGGTCACGTAGCTAGTTACGGTGTAATTATTATAGTTAGCCTGGTGGTCGCGTAGCTAGTTACGGTGTAACTAGTGTAGTTAGCCGGGTGGTCACGTAGCTAGTTACGGTGTAGTTAGTGTAGTTAGCCTGGTGGTCACGTAGCTAGTTACGGTGTAACTAGTGTAGTTAGCCTGGTGGTCATGTAGCTAGTTACGGTGTAACTAGTGTAGTTAGCCTGGTGGTCACGTAGCTAGTTACGGTGTAATTAGTGTAGTTAGCCTGGTGGTCACGTAGCTAGTTACGGTGTAATTAGTGTAGTTAGCCTGGTGGTCACGTAGCTAGTTACGGTGTAATTGGTGTAGTTAGCCTGGTGGTCACGTAGCTAGTTACGGTGTAACTAGTGTAGTTAGCCTGGTGGTCATGTAGCTAGTTATGGTGTAATTAGTGTAGTTAGCCTGGTGGTCACGTAGCTAGTTACGGTGTAATTGGTGTAGTTAGCCTGGTGGTGACGTAGCTACTCTCAGTGTAATTAGTGTAGTTAGCCTGGTGGTCACGTAGCTAGTTACGGTGTAATTAGTGTAGTTAGCCTGGTGGTCACGTAGCTAGTTACGGTGTAATTAGTGTAGTTAGCCTGGTGGTCACGTAGCTAGTTACGGTGTAATTGGTGTAGTTAGCCTGGTGGTCACGTAGCTAGTTACGGTGTAATTGGTGTAGTTAGCCTGGTGGTCCACCACCATAGGTTGTCATCTGGTAAAGGGCAGTGACCCCGTGTGTTGGTATCAATAAATGTGTTGCCTTCAAGGAGTACGTCTGCGACTCAGTTGAACTCACTACATATATAAGAAAGCTTGAGGTTTCTAGACCCTGTGGATACAGGCTTCGTGGATAAGAGGGTCACACAGCAGGCTTCAGGGAAGGCTGGTGGAAGCCTGGTGCATGCGTGACCATGCTCATCTCACAGAAATGCCGCCAAGGAGATTCCTCCACACAATCTCTTCGCTGTCATCCACGCCTGGGAGATGAAGAAGAAGCCTTGCCTCCCCTTCACGCCCAATCCTCGACCTCCACAATGACGCACAGTTCATGACACGGATGGCCATGTAAATCTCGTAGGGAATCGGAAATTCTGTTAGTTGCGTAGGCCACGATTTATCGCATTTCCGATTCCCGACGAGCTTTACGTAAAGAGGGGAACGTAAATTTACGTGAGATGCTACGCGCGGTCAGGAGTAGACTTAATGCCGCCATTGCTCACATTTACATACATCCGTGATATCTCACCTACCCCAACAGCCTTAACATACTGTTGGGGTAGGTGCTGTTAGCGAGTACCTAATGAAGGTTAACACAGCACACGAGGGGGTGGGTGGCCAGCACGATGCCCGGCCGCCTCTTGTCTCCCTCGTGGCAATGTTTGCACACCGCACTAGGTACTTATTTGAGGCTGAGTCGACCTAGCGGAGACCCAGGACCGGTTCAGATAATCGTCACTGATGTTGACCTTGAGTGGGAATCGCACCCGGTTCGTCGGGTTTGTAGCGCAGCGTGCTAACCGCTACACTACCACTCTCCACAGCCACATACATGTAGACACGTACAACATGCGTGTCGATACAACTATGACTTTGGGTCACATTGGAAATTCTTCTAAAAATGTGTCCACCGTTCCCCCCCGCACCCTCAGTGGGTTATAGGTTGATGTAAACCGATTCCGATGCCGAGGAATTCAGACTGGTAATGACTAAAGCTCGTTGTTGTAAAACAATCTCACTTCATACATGAAAGCCTGGTAAGCCCCAACTTGTGAGCAATATAAAAAAATATCAGCCACTTCCTGTATGATCAAGACAATAAAGTAAGAACACTTTTCACAAGAAGATGTTTTTACCTTCATGATATTTACAAAAATCTGTGGTGTCCACAGAATTGCAGGTTATTTGTTCTTTGAAAATATACTCATTCTTAATGACTTGGCAAAAAATATAATCACATATTTTAACAGCGATCACAGATGAAAAGTATGCCTTTTGTTGTGTTATTACATACGAGACATCTGCAGTTAAATGCCGATGAGTATAATTGCCTCGTTTTGTTTTGCAGTCTCTTGGTACCATGAGGATCATGCTTCTGGGCTTGGTCTTGCTGCTGATGAGCCCCATTGGCAATGCAGACCCACACCCTCGCAAGCCCAATTTTGTGTTGATGATGGCCGACGATCTGGGAATAGGAGACGTTGGCTGTTATGGAAATAACACCATTAAGTAAGAGATTTCCACACCACCAAATGCTACTTTAAAATTAAATGAACTAAGTTGTCTTAAAATGTTCGTATCAGACGCATGAGAATTGATTTCAGGAATTTTTACTTTACGCCAATAACACGACAAATCACTTCAGTCGATTATTAACAAGTCTTTCACCGATGTAAGTGCCCGTATTTAATGATTCGCTATTTTTCTGGTTCTTTCCTTGATGCGTTTAAAAATGTACCCGTGCATGTTCTCTCTAATTGTTGGGAGTGAGATATGTTTGAGGGTTACTTTTCCCCATGTGCTTTTTGACAGGACCCCTAATATTGACCGTCTCGCCCAAGAAGGAGTCAAGCTGACTCAGCACATTGCTGCTGCTTCACTGTGCACCCCAAGCCGAGCGGCGTTTCTCACTGGGCGTTACCCTGTCCGCTCTGGTAAGCATTACCAGGTGTTAACTACCAGCAGGTGCTGCAGTGGTGATATGTTAACTACCTCGTCCTGGTATGCAGAAGGTCATGGGTTCAATCCTGACCCTGACACCTGCTGTATATTTGGAGTTCGCATGTCTCTCTCTCATCATCATCACGGTGGCTAGGAGATGTTAACTACCTCGCCTGGTGTACAGGAGGTCGTGCGTTCAATCCCAACCCTGACACCTGCTGTATATTTGGAGTTCTCATGCTCCCCCCGTGGTCGCGTTGAAATTTTCTCCGGGTCCTCTGGTTTTTCCCTCCACATTTAGAAACACGCATTTCGAGTATTTGGCTGCTATAAATTTCCACGTGATAAGCCACTTTGTTGAGCTATTATTTGTGGCCAAGTCGCTTCTGATAAAGAGCTACACAGCTCAGTGGGCCTTACCTGGTAAAATAAAAAAAAAATGTTCAAATTGTTTAGTTTTAATAGTTCATTATAGTTTTGCGTATTGCCGCCCTGTCACTGACCTACTTAGTGGCAGGGTCACTGTTCTCCAGCCTGGTCCGGGAGCTTGTACACCAAACTGCGAGATGCACAATTAAATAACGCAATGTGCATTGTAACCGGAATACTGAAGTGGAACGCCAACCACCTGGGCTCCCTGTTCTGGTGAACATTCTGCCACCAAATATCCAGAGACATGCAAACTGCAAGGGAGTTTACACGTTTTCAACGATGCACCTCAACGCTGACTCGAAATCCGATCCCCCTTCTGGAATTGCGCTGCTGTTGCCATCCTATAATCTGAGCCGGATTCGGGAGAATGCTGGTGAACAAGTTTCAAGTTTCATTTATTAGGTAGAGCCCTGTGAGCCATGCGGCTCTTAAGTCGGGTGCAACCGCAACAAACAAAATATGAATCTACATTGCAGAAAACTATTACACCACAACCAGACCAAAATAAAGCTACAAAAACAATGTAACAACAGTAATCATAGGAACAACACAGATGTTCAGAATACACATCTCATTTGAAACCCAAGCATCGCACCCCCTGGCTTTGAAACTCTTTGAAGACACTGGTGTGATAATGAACCGCATCAGAACATCAACAGGGCAATATGCACATCTTCACAAATGGACAACTAAAGACAAACCACACCGAGACTGGCCATGCAACCCAATCTGTGGACCAAAAAGTACTCTTTGGTTCTTTCGGTAAAGTCACGTAGAAAGAAAATAAATTAAATAATAGCATACGACACGTGTGTCAATGTTGTGTGTCTCTTTCTCTGTGTTGTCTCTCTCTGCTTGTGTGTCTGTCTGTGTGTCTCCGTGTCTGTGTTTTGTTATCTCTCTCAAATTTAGTTCTACCTGATGACGATTGCTTGTGTTGCAATCGAAATGTCGTATTCTATTATTTAATTTATCTTCTTTCCACATGTGACTTTACCGAAAGAACCAAAGAGTAATTCCTGCAGTCACAAAAGCTTCAAATCAAGTTTAAACCACTGTAGTCTGCGCTTCTTCAACGGAGGGGGATTAGCAAAACTACATAAACTCTCTCTTTTAACCCTCTCATGGCTAGCAGACCTCGATATTGGCATCTATCTCCTTGGGTATATTGCCATCGGCAATAACGAAAAGTATTACAGCTCCTCATGAATACAAATAATAAAGGGAGTTAAAGGTGCAGCAACCTTGTAATTGATTGATCGTATTCTAGATTTTAAGTTTCCGTGACTGCAATGATCCATACTCTTTGGTTCTTTCGGTAAAGTCACGTAGGTGAAAATAAAATAAAAATAAGATTAATCAATAGGAATAGGTTTTACCCTTTTAACTGGCACAAAAACTGACACCTTTATTCAAGGCATCATGTTTGCAATAACCACAACACAAGCAGTCAAAATGCAAACAAAAAAGACAACTCTGATAATAATATGCACTGTCCTTGAATTTGATTGGTCCACACACGAGACAGCTTTTCTTAGAGCCTAGTCTCCATTGGTGTTGGACCAGAAGACGCCAAAAGGCGTAATCAAATCACGACGTTATCAAATCACGACGTTTTGGAAGCAACACAAGCTTCCATCATCAGGTGGGACAACCACAGCAATTTTTTTTTCAGCAGAAATGTATTTTTGCTGTGGTTGTCCCGACTGATGACGGAAGCTTGTGTTGCTTCCGAAACGTCGTGATTTGATTAATCTTATTTTTATTTTATTTTTACCTACGTGACTTTACCTAAAGAACCAGAGTGATTTATCATACTTTTGCTGTCAGAAAGAGCCTGCACCAGAGGGAGCTCTAGAGAGACCTACTTGAGGATATTTGGCCCTCTTTTTCATCATCAGCCACCACCTTTAATAATCCCACTCTTTATGTTAACCACTTATCTTACGTACAATTGCATAATTGCGTTGCGCCATAACAAGGCACTGTGGGTCTTCTTGTGGTCACCACCCTCACAGGCCGATAGGGGGCGGCCGAGAGAGTGAGCAGGAGGGGTGGTGGTTGACCTGGGGTAACCCCCCCCCACCCCCCTGGGTACCCCGTGACCGGAGGTTGAGACCCCAGATCCCCAAGGGGTGGGGGCTGAGGGCTAGGGGCCAACGGTTCATTCGCGACCCTTCAAGATACTTCTGGAAGGTTCTGGGGAAGGTGTGGTTAGGGGCGGGGTAAGCCCCAACTTGTGTATAAAAGCCGGCCCTCTCAAAGAGACCGGCAGTGTTCGTCCGCTAAAGACCCAAAGACGCCTGAAGACCAGACCAGCACCCAGGGACCCTCAACCGAAGCTCTTGTCAGAGCCGGGTTGCAGTGGACCAGCGGTGAGACCAGTACCCTGGCTAGGTCGGGTCAGGCTCGCCTCCCCTAGCTCCCGTAGCGGAGGACCCGTGAGAGCGTAGCCCGGAGTGTGTAGGGCATGCTCGAGGGGAGGCTGTACCTCCCTTAGGTTATCGGGTGACGGGACCGTACCCCGTAGTGTTACAGAGGCCATAGCTGTAAGTGTTACGGCTATTAGCATTGTTACCGTTTATGTAATAAACGCGTTGCCTCTAAAAGAGAAGTCTCGCTTCCAGTTTACACCAACAACAACTGTGAAGCGCCTTGCATTCAGGCGTTATGTAAATCTATACAAGATAAGAATTTCAAACCACTGCTGGATGAAGACCTCCCTACACCACAGTCATCCCATGCAGTCCCCGCAATGCCACAATCCATCTCACTCATGAACTGGTCTCGTCTCTCCCTAACATTGAGTAGCCCAGTGACACTGAACCAGTGATGAACTGGGAATAAAAGTCAGCCCAGGCTTTTGTAAATACACCGACCAAGATTGATGTGCGATCTCATCGTCCCATTTGCGCTAGGTCCAAGAAAACAAATGGGCCGGTGAGGAAGAATCTTTGGGGCTGCCGAATATGAGACTTGATGCCAACTGGGAGCGCAAATAAGCAATGAAGTGTACACATACTCCTTGGTTCTATTCGGTAAAGTCACGTAGGTAAAGTCACGTACCTACGTGACTTTACCGAATAGAACCAAAGAGTATGGATCCTTGCAGTCACGAAAGCTTCACATCTAGAAGTGTACACATTAGGAGGAGTTAAAATATTTAAACATTTGCAAACACGCAGACGGGCCCACCGGCCCTGGGAATGGACTGGCCCACCAGGCATTTGCTCGGACTGCTGCCCTATGGACAGTCCAGGCCTGCATTGAACCCTCATAATGTGCCTCAAAGTCCAAACTGGCCAAGTGCTTCATGTTTATTGAACAAATGCTGCTGGAAAATACGTCCCCGAAGGCCTGCAAACTGATGAACTGTATATGTAACTTTAACTTGCTTAATTTTTGTATTGGTTTATCAACGTATTTATGTTTTAATGACAGACAATAGCTACACAAATCCCCCTGTGGTAATTTTATTGAGACAACAGTGGGTTGTTTTGAATTATATCAATAATGCAAATGTCTTTCCTATCTCATGGCAGGAATGGCTTCAAGTGGATATTTGCGTGTTTTCATTTTCAATGCCAATTCCGGAGGTCTTCCCACAAGTGAAATTACATTCCCCAAATTGTTAAAGGAGAAGGGCTATTCCACTGCGATAATAGGTGAGTTAATTTTGTGTAAGGGTTATAGTTTGTTGATCGAGAAAACCTATGAAACTAGCATATTGTGAAATCCACAGGGTAGCATTATGTGGTGGTAAGTAGAGAACAGTGCAGCAAAAGCCTCTGTTAGACTGTACTTCTATGCTCCCTGCCTTCACCAGCCTGCATTGATGAGCGTTGTGCAAGAATTAATCTCCACAATGAGTGTAATCATTTCAGTAATAAAGTTAACTTTCCCGCATGTGAAATAAATGTAATTCATTTTGAGATTATACATTGCTTTTTAAAGGTCTCCATGTCGTACAATGCACGTCTAGACATTATAGCACTGTTGCTGCTAAGTGCATCGGTCAACACTGGAACTTCTGAATGGAATCCAGTGCAGAATTCTTATTCATAATCCAGCCCCTCTTGCCTCTAATTGCCATTCCCTTGCCCCATACGGTGCAAACGAAGTTCAACATACATTACCCTGTATATTAAGCATATACTTCTATGGTCCATGCTGTTCTCAAGTATTTCGCGTTACTCCACCCGTCTGTCAACCCACTGGCATTGCTCACCTCTCCTCGTCTCGCCATGGCAATTGAATTTCCTTGTGGACTGTCCACACGGCGTTTCTGCATCGTTTCTATTGCCATACTCTGGAAGGCATTACTCGCGACTGCCCTAATTTAATACAAACCCGCGCGTCATTAAATTAAACTGCCAATTGGTTCGCGCATTCTCATCCGCGTTGCCAACGGTGAGGAGGCTCACAATAGGTCTACACTTTTCAAAACAAGAAATACTTAACTGTTTTTAATGTTCGATATGCAGGTATGTATTTTAAACTCGACGCGTTTCTCAATTCTCTGCTGTAGGAAAGTGGCACCAGGGGCTGAACTGTGACGTGGCAGGAGATCACTGCCATCACCCGCTGAGCCATGGATTTGACTATTTCTATGGAATGCCGATGACAAACCTACGGGACTGCAAGCAAGGGGAAGCCAGTGTGATAATCGCAGGAAGCTCCAAGTTAGCCATATCTCTTGCTACCTTCTCCCTGCCACTTCTGCTTGCCCTACTCCTTTCCCATTGGGCAGGGCTTGTGCGCATTCCGAGAACCATATGGTTCGCTCTCGGTGTACTTTTGGTGAGCGTCATTGGACTTATTGTGTTCACCATTAGTCACACACGGATGCTAAACTGCATTCTGATGCTGAACCACGAGGTCATTCAACAACCGCTTGTGTTGGAAAACCTTACGCAGAGGATTGTTTCCCAAGCCATTGGCTACATTGACAGGTATATACCAGTTTTTTTTTACCCGGTTTTCATACACGCCCTTTACTTACGGGTTATACTTGGTGTCTATAACTAATTTAGGATTTTGGTTTGTGCTTAGAAATGCAGAATTGGAATATGCAACAACAAAAAATGCGCCTGAAATTTTGTCATGTCACTGGTAATTCAGTCTTCTTTTGAAAGTCAGTGTGTTTCCATAAAGTTGTGGCTTTGTGAATCAACATATTATTGGTTCTTTCAGTAAAGTCACGTAGAAGGGAAACAATAAAATAATAAAAATATAAAACAATAAAATTCTCACGACGTTTCGACTGCAACACAAGCAATCACCATCAGGTGTGAAAACCACAGCAGTTTTTCACACCTGATAATGATTGCTTGTGTTGCAGTCGAAACGTGAGAATTTTATTGTTTTATATTTTTTATTATTTTATTGTTTTCCTTCTACGTGACTTTACCAAAAGAACCAAGAATATGAATTCCTGCAGTCACGGAAGCTTTAAACCAAAATGAACACATTGTTATAATTGAATTAAATATAATTGTAATTTTAGTTGGCATATTTTTTATGCTGTTTAGTATAATGAAAACATATACCTTGATAGTTTTGTGGTAATAATTAACAAAATTAACCCAAACCCTGTTATGTTTTAACTCCTGACCTGCTACAAAATATCAAACCATTTCCTGGATAATGGCCTCTGCATGCTGATGGGTATTGGGGTTTTGCCATACTTCACCAAAGTGGCACAGCGGTTTAACGCAGTTCTATGAACCTGGCGACCAGAGTTCAATTCCAGACTCGCATCAGTGGTGAATAATGATTTGAAACCACTCCTGAGTCCTCCATTCATAAACCCACACTGACCAGCATGATTAAGTATGGTGAAACAACCCCCAGGGCACGGGGATGCTTTCATCCAGCAGCAGACTCTTATATTAGAGCAGGTCATAAATTAAAACACAACAGGCTTTAAGTAAAATTTGTTGAGGTATGTGATGCACATCAGCCGCAGATAGGTTTGTGTGCGATGTATTTTACCTGCTCATACCTCCATGAACGCTAAAGTTACCGTACTTTACCTCATCCCTAATAGTGCCACCCTCCCTCTTCCTTTGCCTCCTATCCTATACCCCCTTTACCTACCGCCCATTGCCTCTAAACGGCTGTCCAACCACACGGAGTTTAGTTCAATAGTTTTAAATAGTTTCGACATTCCACATACGTATGTATGTTGAACTTTTTTCGCACCGTACGTAGCCAGCCCCTCTCCTCACTCTCAACCATTGCTGACCATTTCAACATCCGTTTCCTACCCCATTATAAGAACAATATTTCTCCTGCCCACAGCCCATTTCCTCTCCGTATTGTTTCATGCCACTGCCCATCGTGCTCCCTTACCCTTTGGCCTTCCCAATGGCGAACGTTTCATAAAAAATAATCCACTCTAAACCAGCTTTGTTCCTGCACAACGACTATTTGCTTTTGATCTTCCTATGAAGCACAACACTGATATTCGTAGATAAGGGAGTCCGGGGCAAACACTGTGTGCATCGTCTTGTAACAATACATCCCGCATGAAATAAACTGAAAATAACGGGAAGCCTATAAAAAAACAGTACATTAATCCGACAAAAAAAAGCTCCTTTTTTATTTACAAGCACACACTTTGATGGTGGGTCATGACATTTACAGAGTTTTACTACAGTAATCCCCTCGGCTGGCAGCATCTGTTCTATAATCGGAGCTCATGGAACATTTTGTTTGGAAGGCAGTGCTGCAGTCTTGCTGCCATCCATAATGCAAAGTCACGTCCTCGACCCATGCTTAGCAACGTTCACTCAAGCGCTGTCTTCTGGACAGTCCTGTTCATTCACCTGAAGAAGGCTACTTGTAAATTTTGATTTAAAGCTTTCGTGACTGCAGTAATTCATATTCTTAGTTTTTTCGGTAAAGTCACGTTGAAGGGAAACAACAAAATAATAAAATATATTTTTAAAAAAATCTCACGACGTTTCGACCATAACTCAAACGGTCGTCTTCAGGTGTGTTGGTTTGCAAACCAATTTTTTTTTATATTTTATTATTTTGTTGTTTCCCTTCAACGTGACTTTACCGAAAAAACTAAGAATAAGGCTACTTGTGTTGTGGCCGAAATGTCGCGATAATTTCATTTTATTATGTTTTATTTTTATTATTTTATTTCCATTCTACGTGGTGGTAACTTTACCGAAAGAACCAAGAATGTGAATCCCTGCAGTCACGAAAGCTTTAAATCGAAATTTAGGCGCTACATTGATCAGAATTGTTCCGTGTCAAGCTAAATGATATTACGTCACTGATTTACTTATGCTGTCCCAGGAACCGCGATGGCCCCTTCATGCTGTTCTTGTCATTTGTCCACGTCCACACGGCGCTGTTCGCCGCCAAGCGGTTCCACGGAACGAGCAAGCACGGTTTCTACGGCGACAACGTGCACGAGATGGACTGGGCGGTTGGTATGCGATACTTTCATCGTCCTGTCGATGTATTACATGTATCGTTAGACCTCCTTTGCCAGTACCAAAATGTAATAATACGGTTTTTCCCCTTTTTTCTGGCAACAAAACTGAAACCTTTTTACGAGGATTCATGTCTGCATTAACCACAATACCTGCAGTCAAAATGCAAACAAAAAACGCCTTTTGGCGTCATCTGGTCGAGCACCAATTGGGTCGAGGCTCAAAAGAAAGCCGTCCCTTGGTGTGGACCAATCAGTTTCAAGGACAATGCATATATTATCATAGTATGTTTTTTGTTTGCATTTTGACTGCAGGTATTGTGGTTAATGCAGACATGAATCCTTGTAAAAAGGTTTAAGTTTTGTTGCCAGAAAAAAGTGGAAAAACCCTATTATTAGTATTACATGTATATTTGGAAATGCTCGCGTAAGATTTGGTAATTGGCAAATTATAATTATATAGACGTTTTATAAATATTTTTTTTAAAATCTAACTTGTACTTTTGTTTGATGTTTCGTTACATTTGAATTGAACAATTTTTAACCGAGTGAATTCATTTGAAAATGTACTGGAAAATGTACGGCCAACTCTTTATTACCAATTATCCTTAGACATATGTCCGTGTAATTCTCTCCGCCATGGTGGCCAGACGTCTTGGACGAGCTGGGACGACTCACACGACCCCACCGTGCGAGAACTTCTCGTCGCCTGTTACATACCCGTTTATATTTCTGGGTGGACAGAGATGGCGGGATTTAAGAAACTTGCACCATTGTTTCAACTTGTTCCCTGGTGCTAAACGTTGATCCGAAAATTCCTGCCATCGCTTAAGAATGGGTAGACTTGTTTTCTGTTCTGTGGGTGTGAATTTGGCAGATATGAAAAGAGCACTTGATCCGATTTGAATTCTGATCAGTCCCATTTATAATCAGACATACCAGTGCATAGCCTATTGTTATTGAAACTATTAAAATTGTTTTTGGCAGTAATTCACCGGTCTTTTCAATACTGTTGTAAGCAATCATTTCCTGTTGGGTCTTTTTGCAGGTGAGGTAGTTAACCACCTGGAGAAGCTGGGACTCAGTGACAACACCCTCGTGTACTTTACATCAGACCAGGGCGGACATTTGGAAGAGATTAGTAACTCTGGAGATGTGGAAGGTGGATGGAATGGTATTTATAGAGGTAAGTTCCCTAGTATAAATGCTCATCCTGTTTTTTTATTCTGCTTGTTTACCCAGGAAAACCTCAGTGAGTCTCAATTCTGTTTTCAGGAGGGTCCTGCCAAGTTTTTGCAATAGAGGATGCTGCTGCTGCTGTGTGTAATCTAGATTGAATAATATGGAGGTAATTTTTCAGCATTGGGATGTTTGGCCAATACCAGTTACATTGGGTGTGTTTTAGCTATGGGAGGAAATGCAGAAGAATCCCATGCAGAACAAGGGGAGAACATACAAACCACATGCAGAAAGGTGCCCGTGCTGTGAGGCACAAGTGTTTCCACTGTGCCACCCCGTCAACTTAAATAAATATGTTTAAATGTGTAACACGGTGAACTTGAATCACCCTGCTGAACTTGTTTTCAACAGACCAAATATGCACAAGAATGGCAATTAACTGTATATACAAGCATACACTTAATTGCATGAAATACAAATATCCACCCATGTTGATCATTCAAAGGTCAAAGTGATTTCTTGCTCAAATGAGCATTGAGGCAGTGCTCTTTTCACAATGACTGCCCTGAGCCAGTGTTGCAAACTCCATGTTCCTATGACAGTGGTGAGTCTATTCATAGAACAACCACTACTGATATTCTTGGTTCTTTCGGTAAAGTCGCGTAGAAGGGAAATCATAGAAATAAAATAATAATGGTTTTCACACCTGATGATGATTGCTTGTGTTGCAATCGAAACGTCGTGAGAATTTGATTGTTTAATTTTTATTGTTTTAATATTTCCCTTCTACGTGACTTTACCGAAAGAACCAAGAATATGAATCCCTGCAGTCACGAAAGCTTTAAATCGAAATTTAACCACTACTGACTTACCCACAAGGTGATAAATAATTTATGGGCCCCAGAGGGATGATTGGTTGAGATAACCCCCAACCAAGACTTGAACACATAACCTTCTGATTGTGAGCCGCTCGCTCTACCCAAGCTACCGTGATCGTTACCACAGAGAAAATAGACCGTGGGCTCTTTCAAATCATTGTCAGAGAAAAGGCCACAATGTGGACACTTGACACGCGTCAGTATTCGACCAGAGGGTTCGTGTCCCCCCCGCACATTCGCGGACTGTACACAGATCGCATGAGTGGGCTATGTGTACCAAACGTGCTGGTACCAGCTGGTAACACGCTGCTGTGGAGATGGTGCTGGTGGGATATGCGGACATCGTCATCAGTGCAAGGCAGCTACTGGCAGAGAAATTGGATGTCCTGGAGAAGACATCATCATCAAAATGTATTGTCTACACAGTTCAAAAGAAGATCCCTCGGTTAGATCTTCCGCGAAGCTCATGGCCTACTCTAACCCCGGAGCCGCACAAACCATGGCAGATTCGGATTCCGGATGCACAAATGGAAAATTAAAAACTCTCCAGTAGTGTGCGAATGTGGTCATCCAGAACAGACCGTACAACGTATAACGACGTAATGCCCTGATCCACAAATACGAAGGAGACATCACAGCGATGATGATACACTCTGCTAATCCTGACGCGGTTTTCTGGATTGACCACCTCAATAATAATAATAATTATTAAATGTTAAATTGTAGCTGTTGTTTTTGCATCTACATCTGCCTTACGAAAGATCTATACAGTGCCTCCCATGCAGAACATATGGAGGAAACAGAACATAGGGGGGTATTATATATAATTACTCAGTAAAGAGGCAATTGCAGACTGAATACAGAATTCAAAAACAATACAGTATAGATAATATGCACATGAATATTGAAAAAAAACACCTAAATTTAAATTTTTAAATGTGCTTGAAAACTTTTTTTTGTCCAGTGCATGCGAGTTATTCATATGCCATATGGAAATGACGTGTATTTAGTTTAGTCTAAAAGTGATGAATTGTGGGTGCATTCATCATATTTCTGGCTGAGCTGTCCCACAACTTTGGTGCCAAAGTTTTTCTCCATGCACTTGTTTATTCAAATGCAGCAGGACCTTCCTAAAACAGAACTTTGAGACTTGGTTGAGTAATGCTGGGGTGAATTTAGCACCGGCTAAGATTCCACCAATGCCATTTCCCTGTGCTGTGCCGCAGGTGGGAAGTCGATGGGTGGTTTTGATGGTGGAATTCGTGTGCCTGGAGTCCTTCGATGGCCAGGAGTGCTCCCTGCGAGTGTCCAAGTGGACCACCCCACCAGCCTCATGGACATATACCCAACAGTGCTGTCACTGGCTGGAGCCAGTCTACCAGAGGGCAGGTCAGCCACTCATCCTGGTCATTTCAGGGCTGCTGAATAGCTGAGCGATTGTCATGTTTGTGACCGGGCCAGTTCATAACCATTTATTGTTTTGTTTCATGGAGGTGTCCAATAATGTATTTGCAGGATGACCAGAGAATATTCTTAGCTGCGAAGCGGAAATTAAACACCTGTAGGTGTGACTTTTTGACGCAAAGTAATTTGCAAGGCGCTCCGCATCTATATGTACACAGTTGAAAACTTTACACCATTGTTTAATCACATAATATGGAGGGTGGAATACAGTACTCATGCTAATTTCTCACATTAACATCACTAGCCCCGGCCACTTCTTTATGACCCTTGGGCTACACTCATTTCAAACCTTTTAAAACAGTCTGCCTCAGCAGCAGACCCACGCTTTCCCAACTGATGACGTACGCTTGTGTTGCGCCCGAAATGTCGTGATTTACTTTATTTTATACCTACGTGACTTTACCGAAAGAACCAAAGAGTATGGATTCCTGCAGTCACGAAAGCTTCAAATCGAGATTAATCAGTTAAATGTAGCAGTCAATGACGGCTGGTGAGTAAATATGTCGATGGGGCACAGAAGTCTGCAGGGAGGGGGAAGTATAAAGGTTGGATCGGGGGGGGGGGGGACAGAGCGTATGTACTTAAGAATTTTTACAGTGAGCAGAGGCTCGAGTACCAAACGGCCTACACAAGTAATAGCGGAATTAAGTCTGCTCCCGATCACGTGTAGCATCTCACGTGAATTCACGTTCCCCCATTTACATAAATCTCGCAGCGAATCAGAAATTCAGTAAGTTGCGTCGGCCGTGATATATAAAATTTCTAATTCCCTACGAGCTTTACGTAAACTCGGGTCGCCAGGTTCGTCACGCACTTTACTAACCTGCAATGCTGCTGCTCCCCATGCCTTTGCCGTGTCTAATCTCTTTGTCGCATACACATTCCGCATTGTGCAGGGTGATCGATGGGAAGGACCTGCTGCCCCTGCTGCTGGGAAATCGGAGCTACTCGGAGCACGAGTTTCTCTTCCACTACTGTGGCACACACCTCAATGCCGTGCGCTGGGTGCCTCGCGACAGTACGTCAGCATTGCGCAGCCACTAATGTGAACGCGAGGTTCGGAAATTGCGGGCGAGAACGGCAACAAAAATGGAACGCAAACTGAAGAGCGCGAAGAAGCGTGGAGAGATTTCACTCCCACAGAAATTACGCTGAAACACCGGAAGAAGAGTAAAAGTGGGCTGGGGTAGGATGCGTTGCTCGTAGGGATGTATGTTGCATGTTGAAGTTCTTTCGCACTGATTGTAGACAACCGTACTAATCGGACGTGTTGGGGAAGGACAACAAACAAAAAAAGTTACGAAGAAATTATTTTAATGTGCATAGCTCCCGGTGGCTTCCTAATATCGAAAGGAAGAGCATTCCAGACGGCCGCAGAAGCGCATCTGAAAGCGTGCGATGCGGTGACCACCGTCTTTGCTCGATGGCCGGTCGTCGATAACAGCGTTGGGGTGGCAGCCAAGGAGGGGAACGCATCCGTGGGGATGTCCACCGAGGAAATGGGAGCGATGAAATGGTCTCATGTGCGCGGTGGGATTTATACATTGCTGTGCTGTAAGAGATGACGACTTGGGGAGGCCTCATTCAGCAGTGGATTGATCATGACTGATGATAAAATATATTCACCTGTAAAGTAAGGATATAAAGAATCGCATGCATTGGTTTTACAAAGTTTCTATATTGAACCGTCTGCCTGGAAGCCTCATTCATTTGTCGGCCTTCAACAGGTTCGGTGTTCAAAGACAAAACAACAAAACTTACAACGCATACAGAAATGTATAATTTTGATGATTAGATGGGAATATGCTAGAATTTATCTCATGTGGAAAGGAAAGAGCAATATATAATCGCCTCAATGTGCGAGTATTTTTTTATGAATGGCAACGGTTTAACCATTTTTACTTACCCCTTGCACCATCTAAGATCATGGAATTGAGTAAATGTGTTGTTGCTCTGTAAAAAGGATTCACCGCTTTATGTAAAAGTGATTTAAGTTTCACGCCTAACATTCACGTTCATTCTTTATCCTAACAGGCCAGCTCATCTGGAAGGTGCATTTCTTTTCGCCGATCTTTTTTCCTGCCGGAAGCAATGGATGTTACAACACGGTCATTTGCCACTGCCACGGCAGCTTTGTGCAGACACACGACCCCCCACTGGTCTTCGAGATGCAAAGCGATCCTTCAGAGAGCTCCCCTTTGGCCGTCACAAGCGCCGCTGTCCAGGAGGTGCTGGCTGTGGTCCAGAGGGCCGTGTCCTCGCACCAACAGAGTCTCACGCCGGTGCCCAGCCAATTCTCCTTAAACAACTTGCTCTGGAAGCCCTGGCTGCAGCCTTGTTGTGGCTTTCTTCCATCGTGTGGCTGTGACAACGATGCGACCCTCCCGCATGAATAAACATGCCAGTGGAAGGGGAATTTAATGAAAATTATTTGTTTGATCAGTTATCACATTTGCCTTCAAACGCACTGGTACTCTACAACATTTTATTTAATTTACCATCAATATTACCGCTGTCCAGGTATTGGGATCCTAGGATAGAATATGCATTACAAATGTTTATTATTGTTATAATGGGACGTGCCCAATGGCATGTCTACCGAGAAGAGAGAGCGATGAAATAAGTGTGTGTGTGCAGGTGCTGGGTGGATTGTTATATCACAAGATCGTGTGAGGTAGCGTTGGCTTGGGGCGGCCTTCATCCAGCAGTGGATTGACCATGGCTGATGGAGACAGTGGATATTTTCAGTCGTTTCGATGGCAGTCTTATATGACTCTTGAGAGATGTTTTCTCAAACGGGTTTCTGAAACATTTGTACCTCAAAGAGTTACTGTTTGTGCACATATTCTTTGGGTCTTTCGGTAAAGCCATGTAGATAGAAAAAAAATCAAAATAATAACAATATCACGACGTTTCGATCGCAACATAAGCAATTGTCTTCAGGTGAAAAAAGAGGGGGAAATCTGCCTAGGCAGGCTGCTTATAAAGGTTTAGAGATGGGGGCGGGGCAGCTAATGTTAATGTAGGAGAGGGCTCCCACACTGGCAGTAGGTCTACACCAATCAGAGAGCTGTTTATAAAGGTTTAGAGATGGGGGCGGGGCAGCAAATGTTAATGTAGGAGAGGTCTACGACACCGGCAGTTGGTCTACACCAATCAAAGAGCTGTTTATAAAGGTTTAGAGATGGGGGCGGGGCAGCTAATGTTAATGTAGGAGAGGGCTCCCACACTGGCAGTAGGTCTACACCAATCAGAGAGCTGTTTATAAAGGTTTAGAGATGGGGGCGGGGCAGCAAATGTTAATGTAGGAGAGGTCTACGACACCGGCAGTTGGTCTACACCAATCAAAGAGCTGTTTATAAAGGTTTAGAGATGGGGGCGGAGCAGCTAATGTTAATGTAGGAGAGGTCTCCGTCAACGGCAGTTGGTCTACACCAATCAGAGAGCTGTTTATAAAGGTTTAGAGATGGGTGGGGCAGCTAATGCCAATGTGGGGAAGGTACTACGGAGCTGTGGGGGGTAGCCATTGTATTGTGAGAGTTTATCATGTCAATGTAAAATGGCGCAGTGGCCACATGGAGGTGGTAAAGAATGGCAAGCCGCCATTTACTAACACAGCTAACGGTGGTTGTGTTAGTGAATATAACTCAGAGAATCTAAAATAACTGATAAGTAGGATAGGAACATCACAGTCAGTTATGATCTAAACTGGCGAATACCGTCCTTCCAATGATTGCTCAGTTTGTACCCATCTTCTCGGTTGAAATTGTATCTGTGTTTATATATCTGCGTGGCTTCATGAACGAATCTTTGTTGATAGCCAGTGGGTTTGCAGAGTACCTTCGTCTTGGCAAAATCTATTTCGTGCATGCCCACAGCATTAAAATAATGATCAGCCACAGCTGAGGTATTGGTCCTACCGTGTTTCAGATCTACCTTATGTTCACAGACCCGGTCCAGGACATGTCGCTTAATTTCCCGAATGTAACTGCTGTCACAGACACAACTTAGTTTGTAGACACCGGGTATTGCATGTCGGGAATTGCATCCTTCACAGAAGGCATCAAATCACGAATTTTATGTACTGTGTTGAATCGTACCTGGATCTTGTGTTTGCTCATGATTTTGGAAATCTTTTTGGTGACCCCTGATATTTATGGCAAGGCGATGGTTTTGATTGGGTCCTCAGATGGTTCTCTCCCCACGGTTGGGTTGATAGCTTTATGGAATGTGTAGTCCAAATATGCATTCCTCTTGAGGGTTTGGTGTACGTGCTCCAGTTCACTGGCTAGGTGGTGATGGTCAGAAATACAAGGAGCTCTGTGGTATAGAGTTTTGATGACAGAATTGTTATGGGATAGATGGTTGTGGGAGTCAGGTTTTAGGTATTTATCCATATGGGTGGCTTTCCTGTAGACATAGTGTCCCATTGAGCCATCAGGTCTCTTTCCGATTAAAACATCCAAGAATGTAAACTTGCCATCATTTTCCACCTCCATGGTGAATTTTATGGCTGGGTGTATGGAATTGATGTGGTTGAAGAATTGGTCCAGAGCTGGTAGGCCATGTGGCCAGATGACGAACGTATCATAAGGACGTAGGGTGGATGCTTGGATAGCATCTGTCTCAAATTTCCCCATGAAAACATTGGTTACATCTGGAGATAAGGGAGAACTCATAGGGGTACCTTCAACTTGTTTGTAGAATGGTCCATTCCAGGTGAAGTAAGTGTTGGTGAGGCAGTGTTTAACCAGGGCTGGAACATCAGCATTCAATCCTTGTTGGACCAAATCTTCAATGATTGCAATGGTGTCAGGCACAGGAACTTTGGTAAACAAAGATACTACATCGAAACTGACAAGCAAATAACCTGGAGATAGTTAGATATCAATGGAAGATATCAAGTGAGCTGAGTTAAGTACAGCTGAGGTGGTCTTGCCAGTGAATGGTTGCAAGGTCTCAGACAGAAATCAGTTTGTAGGTGGGTGAGCCAATGGTGGAGGCGATATGACGGAGTGGTGTACCTTCTTTATGGATTTTTGGTAAGTCATACAATCTGGGTGGTCTAGCAGCAGAGGGTTTTAAGGAAAACCGCTTGGTTGGTTCGATTAAAGATGTCGAATCAGTGATGATATTGTTGGTTTTCGTAACCAGGCGGTTGGTAGGATCTCTTGATTTTGGTATAGCTGCCATCATTAAGTAGGTCCTGAATTTTGTTATTGTATGTGGTTTTGCCCTTGTCGGCTGAGAGGATGACTATGTCATATCTCTTTTTTAGTTGTGAGAGTTCAAGTCGCTCATCCTTGCTTATGTTGCTAATAGGTGTCTTAGCGTTTTTGAGGATTGCAGCGATTTCCGATCTTGCTACGTCTGCATAAATGTGTCCCAAACCCTTAAGGGCTACGTCGACCTGGGCAATGATATCATCAACTGGGATGTGTTTAGGGGTGACTGCGAAATGAAACCCTTTAGCTAGAATCGATTTTAGGCTGTCGGAAATTGGGCTGTTGCTCTGATTGATAACAATCTTGTCACCATCTAACTTTTAAGTTTCTGGAACTGGCTTCTTCTTGGAGAGGAGCTTGAACTTGGAAATCAAGTTATCTTTGCATTTAGCTGACATTGACGCGGCTGAAGAGGCTGTCATGTTATCTACTTGGTCCCAATCAGAAGTAGACATTTTTTTCAGTCAATGTTAAGTGTGAGTGCACATCTAGGCAATTGTGGCCAGTATCTTGAATGGTGTTCCTTCAATGATTTGTAGAATGAGTGTCAAAGTTAATGAAGAAACCGGTAGGGGACACCGAGCTTATTTTAAAGAGACATTTTGATGACAGCATGGTTACTATACCACTAGCTCATGCTAGTGCGTCAAGAGACACTGTGTATGCATGACATGGTGATCAATCACCCCAACATCATCGCACCACCAATATCTGTGCCTGTCAGACTGGGGAAGATGATCCTGCTGCTCGTGAAATTATATAAATGGGGCCCGAGTTAATTTGATCTTTTATCTGTTTTAGCTCAAGTGACTGATTTCAATTGAAAAACACATGATATAATTATATTGATGTAAATATTTTGTTTATATTTAAAACTGCTAATTGCCAATGCAGAGTTAATGCCTAACAGATAGTGGTGACACGCAGAAACTTGCAGAGGTGCACAGACAGCAGAATTTTGTCGCTTGCATCGTTGAGTAAAGGCGCATATGTGGAGCATTGGCATGCTCGAGGTTGTGCTTGAGTAGATGAGGTTGGAACATTACAAGAGAAGTGCATTGGAATGGCATCCAGGAGTTGGCAACCAAGGGAATACCTAAAGCCACTCAGGAACACTAAAGGCAGATTTAGGAAAATTAGCAAAACATTGTGATACTGCATTGGCAGTAGTGCACAATGACAATTAAAAACAATACATTTATCAATAACATTGCCCTTTAAGAAACATCTGTTTCCCTTTTAAGGCACAGTAATTAAACAATTGTTACGATATTTGGGAAATTCAGTGTTTACTCGGCTACAGCTGAGGGATCTAGTAGTAGGAAGATGGCGATAGTCTGGTGTGGTGGCATCAATGGTATTCACTATGACCTCTTGACCTTGCCTTTAGCTGCCATAGGATTAACCACTGCAACTGATGCGGGATAATGGCTGCCACTGAAGATATCTGTATGCCTATTTTCTCTTTATATTACTCTTGTTTTAAGTAACCAATCTTGTAACGGGTAATCTCCCATGTGTACCCCAGAATGTGAACCTTTGCAAATGTGAACTTCATATATATTTTGATTACATAACGAAACATTTTCAAGCTATGATGGTAGTGAAATTCTTGCACTCTGTCAAATCTGTGTAGTGGCGTGGATGATGTTTGCACACGTGCTTTGAATGCAAATTGTTGAAATTATACAAAATTAAAAGTGAAAGTCGGCATTATTACTTTGTGTAACTAGCCTCAGTTCACAAAAAAACTGATTAAAGTTTTTGTTATGATGCATACAAACACATAAAACTGAGTTTTGTAACTCTTAAAACACAATTTTCCAATCAACGTTTTGTAACTCATCATTGACAATGTGGGGGTAGCGTTCGCATAGTGTGGCTAGTGCGCTGCACTACGAACCAGGTGACCTAAGGTCATTCCCTGGGCATGACTAGCATCAGTAGCGAGTGATATCTGAACTGGTTTTGGGTTCCACCTATTCATCAACACGCATTGACCACTGTCAAACAACCCTTAATGACTGACAACTTGTGGGGAGGTCTTCATTCAGTAGTGGATTGGAAATGGGCTATAAATTAATCAAATGTGGAGCCTCAAAGCATATACAGGTGCTTACTAAACAGCGTACTGTTTGTGTGCAAACTGTAGTCTAATTTAAAAACAGAAATATGAAGTAGAAGATAATATAACAGGTTTCCAGCCCAAAAAATACCAAAAGTATGTTCTAGGATGACGAGGTTGATTCAAATTTTGATTTAAAGCTTTCGTGATTGCAGGGATTCATATTCTTGGTTCTTTTGGTAAAGTCACGTAGAAGGGAAACAAAATAATAAAAATATAAAACCTGATGATGATTGCTTGTGTTGCAGTTGAAACGTGATAATTTTATTGTTTTATTATTTTATTGTTTCCCTTCTACGTGGTGACTTTCCCAAAAGAACCAAGAATATGAGGTTGATTCAATATAAATATAACTGTAATGTATTTAATCCAGCCTACCATTACAGGTACTAGTAGCAGTGACCTTATGAGAGTGAAGCCTTATGCTAAGAAAATATATTTACCATTATGAAATAAACATTGAGTGTAATCAATGTATCCAACAACGCGTTGCTGTTAACAAATCTTGCCAACACTTGGTGCATCTTTTTGACAGATGTCGCATCCAAACTTTTGATTCACATAGTTCATAATTGTGAGACTGAGACGCTTTGTCGTTCCCACGCCCAAAAG